TTCAGGACAAGAGCAGAACTAGAGAACACAATGTGGGAGAGGTAAAATGTACCCTAGGGAGGTAAGAATACGCATGTTGTGTTATGCTTTCTTACTTTGAATGTTGAAGTTAATATAATTTTGACTTAAATATCTTAAATATGAAACTCCATTTCCATAACATAATAGCTCGTGTTGTATTTCGTCGATCGTTTTCGGTAACATTTACGCCTTTTTCATCCACGTATGATAAGAATTACAGCAGATGTTGGTGTTAAACTAGTAAACATTTAATTCTTCAGAAAATACGGTAAATACGGTTTGTTTCCTGTAAACAAACCAACATCGTCAAATTCCACTTCTCCGATGAAAGGAGTTGACTGTGCTTGTAAATATATTCGTATTAAAGTCTCCTCAAATTTTGGCTTGCTTTTGTGAAGAGGGACCAGATGAAGGAAGACAACTGTGATATAAATACACGGTTTCCGGCTCTAGCGTAGAAAAGGGTTTTGAACTGCTGTTTCATGTTGCTGTAAAACTTTTTACAACCCATCTCGAAAACATAAATAAAAACTATTTGTTTTATGTACCTTTTCCTCATACTATAAGCACATTGTACGGTTCAGATCGAGCTCCATTGTTTCTTTATTTAATGCTTTCGATGACTTATTTGTTTTCCGGTTTCTGTTTTGCTTTGCACGAAAATGTCACGTGCACGACAACACGTCACATTTCATGCGAATTTGGAAAGTTTTTTTATTCAGGAAAGTCTTTAACCAGAATATTGAAAGACTGGTTAAATTATGCTGTTAATCTTTAGAGTTTTATATCTTAATTCATGTTTATAATAACTAGTACTTTCAACTTGGAGTGAGAGTGATCAGATGTTTCTGATCAAAAGGTTTATTATGGTTGATGTCTGAAATATCCGTTGAAACTTAACTTATTATAAAGTAATTTCAATCAAGGGTTAATTTAAAATGATTAAATTTATATGGTCAGTGTCTGACATTTTACTAAATCAGGTTATACACAACTGTTATAGCATAAATAGGAGTGTTAACAAACCGATAGAGTTCCATTTATACCCTTTTGAAATATGATTCTTATGGTGCACTTGTACTACAAGAGTTGAGAACGTTATATTAAAACGATTTTGGAACGTCACCACATCGTTACATTCCATGTCACTAAGGCTGGTCATGCACTTTGGCAATAGCCTTGCAGCGTGGTTTCTATTGCAAAAGGCTTCGTCGTAAGCCTTTTCATGTCCAAAACACACCACTCCTCCCTAGCTGATTGATTTCTATAACCCATCTAGTGTACGGGGACTAAGGCTTTCCAGCGACTGCTTCAAAAGTCCAAACGCACAGAAATCCATAGGTGTTGCATCGGTGACTTGACAAGTATGGCTTCATATGGAATACTATTTTCGTGCTACAGCTACTTAAAGTATCTAACAGTAGAGCAGATATGTTGTGGAAGCAGCTGTGTACATGTAACTTCTATCGATTTTCCAGACGAACATACTTCTTGATTATGTTTGTACAACCTAGGACACATGGACGGTTTTAGCTTTTGTCCCCCTGTGTTCGTGGATTTTCACTTGTTACAAGGAACCCCAATTCTCTTGCCACGGCTGAAGTAAGTTATTGTAAGTCGTGTTCTAAAATAGTCCTTGTCTCCCAACTTGATCCATATTCTTTTATTTTCCAACGTCGTCTAACCAAAATAAAAGCCAGCGTGTGTCACGTCACACTTGATTTCTCGAAATAGGAGGGGTCATAAAAGCCAAAATGCCTTTATCCAGATAACATAGTTTGATTACTGTCTGATCATTACGACTTTAGTGACGGGGATGCAAGGGGCCATGAATCCTTATAAGTGTAGTGAGTGTTGGTATAATAAGCCTGAAGTAAAGACGTAGTGTGGGATCACCTAGTATGGAGCCAAGTGCATAAAATCTATCAAGAAAGTAAAAATATCGATTCAATTATAAACATAAACCATTTCTAAATTAAGCTCTTTTCTGCTATATCACCAACGTTTTAAGTAAAACAAACAAACCTCTTTAATCAACGGAGACTCTAAATTAAGAAATCAACTAATATTTTTCCACTTTTGTTGTTTATACATTTCATTTTATACTTTCAGTACATAGACTAACAACAATATTAGGTTATACTTTTGTTGCTAAGCAACACGACATAAAAGCCATTGTTGGAATGTAGTGTTACCAAAATGCATTGGCTTTTCTATATATTAGAAGTTGTTAATCTAATTGATTTTTACCAATGATTATTCTATGAATACGCCACGAATTCATTTCATGAATTATCTAACTTTTAATTGGCTTACAAAGGAATTTAGCGATGTTTGACTGCCTCGACTGAACTATTCTGCCTCTTTGTTGGTCAAGCTTGATTTCGCAAAACTTATTTATTTCAGTTAGCTGTCAAATGTGAGGTTAGGGTATACTATGGGGTGGGAGTGGTAGTACTTGCCCCGTCATTTTTGACAGGCTATACGCTAATTCTTTAAATTTCTAAATTCTCTAATTTGAAAGCATCTTTAAGATCTGAATGTATGAATAATTTGTGGTGGAAATGGCTGTTACATACTATTCCCAAAAGCGAATCAATTTTCGATGGCATCACACTATGTGGCTTTCTGATTTGCATATTTAAAATCGTTTTAATATAACGTACTCAACCCTCTGTATTTTATTGTCAAACCTCCTATAAACACTTTGAACTACGTTAATACATCTGACTATATGAATTAAAATGTGTATTTCAATTTCTTTCATTTACATGGATACTCAGATATTGGAAGAGTTGTTTCATTCTCTGCACCATAAAAGTTCACAGTAGTTAATTAAGTTCGAGACTCCAGGAAAAGGTTTTGGTTTTCCACGAAAACGTTTCAGTCAGTTATTACCTTTTATAAACCATATTCCAGAGACATATTGAGCTATTGTATTCCAAAGGTCAGTTGTAGAATTTACTCACTGTTAGATTAGTGATTACTACGTGTGACGTCAGAATTTTATAATTAAATGTACATTTTAGGGGTTGGAGAACATCCTCCGAGCTCTTCGTCTTTGTCACGTGAATGAAAAGTCCTGCGCCCAGTTTTATGTTAGCCACGGTGATATTATGAAGGATATGGAAGATCTGGAAACTGCTGCACAGGTAGAAGTCTAATGGATTATAATTAGAGAAATTACAAGTCAAATATTTTGTTTTATTAGGCGCAGGAAGGGCCAGAATTCACATCGATGATTTGACCTATGGAATTATGTAATAAGAGATAATTTCGTTTACGAAATATGCAAGTTCCGAGAGTGGTTTAAGAAAAGAAGTTTGATTGGCTACTTAGTGTGAACATTAAAACCCATTTCTGCCGCACTTACTAGTAGGTTCAAACGTGATTGTTTTGTATCCCGATGGAAGCTAAACACAAGTAACGAGCTTCCCTTGACTCTGGAAAGTGAGAACTGTTACACGGTATAGATGTGGGAGAAGCAATAGGATAATATATAAGAACGAACTTACAGTAGGCGCTGAATGTCGATTAGTTGTGAGATAACGATTTGTCGGTCACGTGCTCGGAAATCAATGTCCATTAGGATTCAGAAGTCTTGTTTAGAAATATGCTAACGTAAGCCTAATAGCGTGTTCTACCAGTCATTCTACTTTTCTCTGATTGTATATTTCAGTATATAAGTTACACTTAATCGCTAAGTGATTCAGCAAATTTATGAAAGGACATTTCCAATGATCATGAAATGTTGTGAATTTGTGAATGATACGGTAACAGTAATGAATTTTACACGAAAGAAGTTACATATGATAAAATTCGGTATGGGCATTCCTTTTTAAAATAAAATAATATTATATAATATCAGATATCCGATCAAATTTAAATATTTCGTGTCCTTTAGTTACACAGAATATAATTATTTTTTACCTTATTAACATATAGCATATTTCCTGAAGATTTCTTTCTTTTTCCTTTGGCTCCTAACTGTTAGTGAGATATCGAGTAACCATAGCAACATTTTCTACGCTGCAACCACTTGTTTCCGTGTTGAAGTAATCACTTTATAAAGTTGTTCTACAGATGTAATAAAAAACAAAGTAAACTAGAGAATGAAGTGACACATCTGAGAGATGAAGTAGCTGGTGTTGCTGACGTTCCTTTAACGATTGGAGCTCTGTTTGTCCTTTGACCACCATATATCGGTACAAATCGCTCGCTTGAGTTTTTCGTGTTATAACAATAAAAAACGTTTTTCATATTTAGCAATATAGTCAATATATAAGTATTAATTTTTTTTTTGGTGTAGTAATTAAAAGTGTTATAAATATGTGACATGTGATAACGTAAATATGCAGCTGTTCGTCTTATATATATAGCTTGATTTTAAAATTTATAATCCTACATATACATACATACATGCAAGAGTTAAGCTTTGATTCGTTTCATTAACTTTTGAATACTAATGTCTTAATATTAAAGCCGAGTCTTCGCTGAAAACAGTAGCGTTCCAGATACCAAAACATCTTGGATCAAAACAATTGTTTTTTAGCAACATACTAAAAATAAATTTTAATTCATAACACTATTCTTTCGGATACATCTTAAAAATAAAACCTGGAATAAAACACTAGTCGCTGAGAAGTACTAAAGAAAGAAGGTTCTTGAATCAAAACACTAGTCGCTAAGAAGTATTAAATAAAGAAGGGTCTTGAATCAAAACATTCAAGACCCTTCTTTATTTAGTACTTCTTAGCGACTAGTGTTTTGATTCAAGACCCTTCTTTATTTAGTACTTCTTAGCGACTAATCAATACACTAGTCGCTAAGAAGTATTAAATAAAGAAGGGTCTTGAATCAAAACATTAGCCTTTAGACATCCGTTAGACATGATTATTTTCATATATTGATGATAAACGATGTAAGTAAACATAAATAGGTATATTATTCTCAACGAAACTTTGTGTTTTTATAAAAGACTAGCCTGCTCCAAACCGATTTAATGTTTTCATATAATAGATTTATTTGCGTGTTTCAATACAGCGTGTCTTTAAAACAATACGTGAATTGTATTCGACGTTCTATGTATCATTATTGATCTGGCTGTAAGACAAGAACCAGTTGGTTTAGATTTTTTGTTCAAGTTTAAAATAAATAGATTCATGTCAAAGAAAACTTTATTCAGTATACCTACTGTATCATTAGCCTAAAACCGACCACAGTTCCAGTTGAGGAACATACAGTTTAGATTGAACCTTAACGGACCAATTGTTTTATCAATAAACCTCAGGGTTTTATACCAGATGCCACGTGTGTGAGGCTGTGCATTGTAACAAAACGAGGTCAATAGTCTTTGTATAAGAAGCAGTAAAAGGTCTTAAACCGATACCCCTTAAAAAAAAAGAAGCCTGAAGGAGTTAAAAATGTTCTTCAAGAAGCGTATTATTATCAGAGTTTCTGTACATGTTTATATATTTATATTTGCTATACATATGCGAGTGTAACTATGTATTTTGTTAATTGACGAAAATAATTCTTATTATTTTTACCATAATATGTAATAATACGGAATTAATATACTGAGTGAAAAAAAAATGTAGATCATACAATAATACCCTTACGTGCACCGTAAACATACTGGTGGAATTTGGGAAAGATAGGACGAAAACCTATGGTTTCTTAGGACTATGGGATAAATGAATTAACCAATCAATATTTATCTGTGTACTTACAGACTTTTCGTGCAATGTCACATGCAGTAATATATATTTAAAAAAATTAACTTGCGACAATAATAACAGTCTACTTTAGTAATAGATGCTAGACTTGTGTGTTATTCATGCATTTCACGGGTCTACTCATCATAATGAAAATGTAAAATGATTCAGATAATCATTATGATATTTGATTTCATTGCATATACTTTTGATTCCGTTATCTGAAACACAGAACTTTTTCCAGAGCTACAACTTGGCAATACAGCTTGATCCATCGATCGGCCACGCCCATTTAAATCTTGGTGTGGTTTATCATCTGCAGGTAAGTCAATAATCCTTTTATATCAGCATCTGTATAACATAGATCAGCGCTGAAGACACAAACATAAACAGTAAAGGTTTATACTGTGTGCTTGTATATTCTGTTTATGGAAGAAGAAGAATGTATTCAAGTACAGGTTATGATAAATAATATTGACAAACAACTATTTATAAGCATAATGGAGTGATTTATTTTTGGGGAACATGTAGTAAGCTTTTCAAAAATAAACAACTCCATTAGGCTTATAAATCGTTGTTTGTCAATTTACTATTAGTACATTTCTTACACGATTTTTATAATAAAATAATAATTACAAAAACGCACCCTAACAGTTTGAGGGTATATAATCCGCAATAATTTTATTTTAGATTATTGGAATTCGGTGTGTTAATTTCATTTTATGTAATTTTATATTATCTTGTGTTGTACTAAGGTTTTAAGGCTTTGATGAAGGCTAGAAAGTCCGTTTCAGGAGCTCTTTTACCCATAAGTGGCCTGTCTTTATTTATGTATTTTATATTTATTTTTCCAATGTATTTTGTTTACTAGTCCTAACGCAATTTTACTCTTAAGTTCTTGCACTCATTTTTGCAATTTCTTAACACTTTTATACTGACATTTGTTAGAAATTGATATTGGAACAAACAACCTAAAGTTTTCAGAAAGTTATTACTTAATATCCTTATTGTTGCTATCTCAAAAGTTTGCAACAGGGTCCTATCTTTATTTAATAAAAACGTTTTTGTACAGCCTAATCTCTAAAGAACGGGAGTTTAAGATTAACACAAGTATATTAACTTACAGTCGAAAGTACTTGATGTTATAAATGTTGTATATTACTGTATTGAAGTGAATTTGCTTCATAAAAACTGAATAAAATCCGTAAAGAGGATAACGCAATAACAAAGCCTCACTTCTATTGACGTTGCTGACAATGTGTATTATTTATGATTAGAACACAATATTTTCCAGATATTCTAAAATTTGCTAGAGAATAAAGAGGGTTGAGAGCATATTAAAACGATTTTGAATATGCTAAACAGTAAGTCAAGTCAAGTCAACCCCACAGCCGATATAAAGTAATGGTAGAATGGCATGAATCACAAATACATTTTAACATTGTTTGATGTGACGTATGTAGAGTGATGACACCGAAAACCGATCACTTTTGAGAAGGGAATCTAAAAGACATTTCCAACGCAAAATGTTCATCATTCAAGTAATAACATGGATTTAGAATTTCCAAGACGGCGATACCTCTTGTACTTAAAAACATTGGAAAACAAAGGAATATGGATCAACATAGAGCACCAGTATCAACTAGAAAAAGATCTTGAAACAAGTCGTATCCCAGCCGTGGTAGGCAAAATGCAGCGTCTTGTAAAAGTGAGAATCCATGAACAGAAATGTCTGTAACAAATGCCGTCTACGTGTACTAAAAATACTCAGAGTGGATTTCCGTCTGTAAAAGCGGCATAAGCCACATTTTACGCAAGTTGTTTCATCGGCACACACGTTCAACTGTTGCATGTCTCAATCAGCTTGAGAATGAAATGAATATTCACGCTATTCTATACAAAGGCTTATCGATTAAACTATCTGACATAGCAACTATGTATTTTTGTGAGATGGGACTACTGAACCTGGTGCTGGGAAACCGAAGTCTTCGTACCTTGGATGAGTTATGGAAAACATGAAGGTAAGAGTGGTGTTCTTTCGATATAACAGTTTTACGATGGACCTTTTTGCAATGGAAACTATACTGCAACGCTATTGTTAAGATGCACTGTCATCAGATATAGCATGACTTGGCGACATGGACAGTAACGACTTAATGAGGCTCCAAAATAATTTTAATGTAACATACTCCATCTATGTATATCGACAAGTTATATAAATTGTTCAAGAGCACAATTTATAAATTATTATGCTTCCCCTCGTGGTTCAGTAGTAAGCCTAAATGCTTAAGACGCTAAAAATCGGGTTTTGATACCCGTAGATGGCAGAGCTCAGATGTCCCATAGTATAGATTTGTGTTTAAAAACGACCGAACCAGATATATTATTGTTGTTTAAGCAAAGTTTAATCGAATACGACACGTGAAGTCACACGAGTTATTAAGGGATGATATGCCAACTCGTTCTGCAGACTTCATTTAAGGTTTGTTTTTTACTTCCGTCAAATCCTCATATAGACCTCATTCAAAATGTATTTTGTTAATAATTATCTCAAAGTTGCTTTGACTTCCAATCTACTTGTATCATCATCTAATAAACTGGTTTTAAGAAATATTTCAATATACTACCAAAGGAAATGTAAATAAAAAAAGAGAATTTTAAGTAGGTTTGTCACGTTAAACCTTATACCATTATTATTTATCACTTGTGTTTTGGGCCAGTGATCTTCTAATGCTGGAGTTTACAATCCTTCTCATGTTATATCATTACTATATATTACTTTCTATAGTGCTAGTGGTGTTCATATTACTATTTCTCACTTGTTATAGTGCTAGTAGGCTTATTATGCTGGAATTTAGAATCCTTCTCATGTTATAGTATTATTATCTATCACTTGTTATAGGGCTAGTGACCTTCGTAAGTTGAAGGTTTGTATTATTCCTACGTTATGGGTTATAACGCTTGTTATAGGGTTAGTGTTTTTTTTTTCTTATGTTGAATGTTGATATACTTCCATGTTATAGGTTTATTATATATTGTTATAGGGTTAGTGGTCTTCTTATGCTCAAGGTTGGTATCCTCCCCATTTTATGGTGTCATTATCTATCTCATTTTAGGAGTTAGTGGCATTCTTATACTGGAGGCTGGAACCATCCTCACGTAATGATATTTATATCTGGTGTTATAAGGCTAGAAACTTTCTTATAATGCAAGTTTTGTATGAACTTACATTATAAAATCAGTTATTCACGATGACGAATATTTAGTTTAATGTATTGTTAGAGAAAACATAATGTAGACATTGATAGATTCTCATGCTTTGCGTATTTTTGCCATCTGTAATCGTTAGATATATAATTACTTGAAGAATATCAGAGAAACTTGATATATATATGTATTTTGAATTTCTAGGGTTGGTACTTGGAGGCACTAAAACACTATCAAACGGCTCACAGGTTAGACACCCAGAATCCAGTGGTTTTAGAAAATCTGGAAAAGCTGAAGAAGAAACTTATGAAAACGTCACTGCTTGCGTGTGATGAAGAAAACGAACTTTGTAGAACCTGGTAATTTTTAAAATCAGATGAAATATAAAACCTGATAACATTAATAATCCCATGATGAGAATAACGAGCTGAAGGCTAGATCTTGATGATTTTTAAAACCAGTGAGACTTACAACCTGGAGTTTGGCTTCTCTCAATATTTTTGCCTGTTTCCAAGAAATTGGGAGACTTAGTTCCTACGTTAATGGACCGAGTAACAACACTGTTGCACTTGAGTGTGAGATTCTTTGTTTTGTGTACATAGGTGTGCCTGCTTGTAAGGTTACCTAGTTACTACACTACTGGACTTGCTATCTATGCAACCGACATAATCCAGTCATTTCATGGTCGGTGTAGTATTTGTATGTGAACAATGTTCAATAAATGTTTTACGCAAAATATGATGAAGTTTCTAAAAAACTTAATCTTGTGTGTGTAAGTGTATTAAAATAAATTTTCCAGGACCTTCATGTATGTGTTAACGACGTGTTGATCACAATATTTGGAACATAATGACTGGCAGACATTCGCGAGTCTGTGTTTCTTACTTAAGATAACGGTCGAAAAATCTGAAAGTTTCATTTCACTCTAAATTTCTAGCGTTTTTTCGTCATTTTTATGATTATTAGTCCTTTTTTTTACTTTTTAAAATTACATTTTAATATTCCTTTTAATATCTTACTGTTATTAATTTTAATTTAATTCTTTTAGCTAATTTTATTTCAAATATTTATTTTGAACGAAGAAAATTAATAAATATCAAATTACTTTCAAAATCCATTTTTGTTATAGAAAAATGTATAACATTATATTTTTTACTAGAAAATTAAATTTTTAATTTATTCATAGAAGGGACTTTTCAGAAAGTTCATTGAAATTTGTTTTTTAGGGTTAAGGATATAGAGCTTCGCATTTAACAGTCCATTGAAGACTAATGCATTTTAAACCAGAATTTGTCCATTAGCATTTTCCAACTGATATTTTATTTCTATTTTCATTTTTTCTTCTCCAACCCTTGTTGGTTCAGCGGTAATATTGAGATTTTATAACGATAACATTCAAAGCTCAATCCCTGCGTGATCATTGCACACTGTGCAGCTTTTTCACCTTTCTGCCTGATGGAAACACATTATTCCTTTCCTCTATGTTTTGATTTAGTTCCATACACTTTCTAATCTATACATTTTTGCTGTCTTATTGATAGATTTCCTCCTACCTTCCTTTCTTCGGATTCTTTCCTAGACCTTAATTTACTCTCCTTTGAACTAATTCACGTTCAGATGCGAAAAGAAAGAAAAAATAACTTATTCTGTGAAATCTATTATAAAATGACAAAGGTCCTGTTAGTTACTTTGAAATTTATGATTACATCGAAAAAAATAGAGAGATCACTGATTCAGAACTTCAGAAGCACGTTTGCAGTAATTCTTTATCAAAACACTCCAACGCGCCTGTTGTAAAACGTGCGAAGTTGGATACTTTTATTATTTGCAAACTTTACAAATTACTGCTTTGTTTTTCTTGAATATTGTTTTCTTTTTACGCTCATCTGACCAAGAAGAAGACTACATTATATTTATCATAAAGTAACTTCCATGTGAGTTTCACATTTTAGCATCATGTGTCTACATTCTTCTCGTTGTGGCATACCACACTGATATTATGCCTAAGCATTACCATAATTTCACATAGAGACCCCATGAATTTCCATTCAAAGTACTTCTATATGTTTTTTTCTTTACAAACACGATATTATGCTTCAGTACATTATTTATTGCTATTATTATCTTCAAACATATAAAGTTAACAAAATCAAAACATAGAAGATCATAAATACGTTTTAATGGGATACAGATCTCATGAAAAATCTGCTCATCATCTATGTACTTAAAATATGTGTATGTATAGACTCTGAGTTGATACAAAGCCAAAGATCGATCAATCTCCTTCTCACACTGAATCAATTTCTCTTATGTGGACCTTCATGAGTCCAGCGAAACCTTTTTCAAACCGGTAATAAAGGTAATAACAATTTACCGATACGTTTTCTACTAAGACCTCCATTTCCAAGCTGCTGGGTTCATTGAGACCACAATTTCCGTAGCAGTAAAAAAAAGTCAGTATGTGTATGCTTACCAGAATGAAAAACGCACTACTAACGTAGTTTGTCTTTCTCTCCGGCTTTCATTCTTTGCACGTCTGTTTTTCGTCCAATATGATTACGACGACCAATAAAAAACCACACATATTTATCTTCACAAATGCTATTTGTATTCCAATGTTAAATGTATAATCGTACTAATGATAATATTCACTATTAAATTAATCCTACAACAGTTTTGTTACTATTTTTATATTGTTTTTGAAGATATGTTCACCCGAAACTGTGATTTGTCCTACTGAAGTAAGAAACAACTAACAAGAACCAGAATGACATATTTTTATATATGGTGCATAAAAAATAACGGTACGATAGTAGGCTTGGCAACCGTACGAATATTTCTATTTGAAACTGACACACCTTATCACGTGGACAAACAGGAATTCAGAATAACAGTTCTTAAAGATACCACAAAAAAAGAAAGTTAAAATTAACTCACAAGACTTGGTACTTATGCTAGTTTGTATTATAAGACAGTAATGGAAATAATAGTATAATACGAACATCAATAAGGCAAGCTGCTGAACTTAAAAGACTATTTATTCTGTACTTGAGTTCAGTTAGCAAACACTTCATGTGTTTTATAGTTGGTGTTTTTTAGAGGTAAACTTATTTTCTCCAATGTGTGTGCACGATAGGTAAAGAATATTTCAATTTTGAAACTTCGAGGGATATGCAGAAATGTTTATTAATTTGCTATATAAATTAAGAAACGTATGAATATCAACGTATTGTGTTGGTTAGCTGCTTGTACATTTTATACGTGTTTCTATACAATATTGACAAATACAAAGATATGGTTCAAATAGTTGCATATACGAACTTCAAAAATACAGAGATTTGGTTGAAATAGCTTCATATACAAACTTGAAAAACACAAAGATATGGTTGAAATAGTTTCATATACAAGCTTGAAAATACAGAGATATGATTCAAATAGATGCATATACAAACCTGATAAAAATACAGAGATTATGTTAAAACAGCTGTATACACAAACTTGAAAAATACAGAGATATGGGTCAAATAGCTGCATATACTAATTTGAAAAATACAGAAATGTGGTTCAAATAGCTGTAAGGAAAAAATGATTTTGTGTCTTTATCACACTGTATATTATAACACTTGTTTTTTATCTGTATGCAAAAGTTTCACAAATAGCCGATGGTTTAGTAAATAGTTAATGCATTTCAACAGTCACATCAAATGTCTAGCATGCTGTGAAAATAGAGATTTATAGCAATACCAACCAAACACAGTAGATTCGTTACAGTACAGTTTTATCGTTTGCTTTTAAAGAGAGCACGGGCGTCAGCTTACACTATCTTTTTTGTATTCTGTGTACTGGAAAATGTTTCTGTTTTGTGGCACGTATATGGATGTCCAATAAATGCATGCTTAAATAAAGATGTATAATCTTTCCCTTTTAAAACATTCAAAATAAATGAATATGTATACATAATAACCAGCCATATAGAAGACACTAATGATAAGTTACAACATTATAATATATTTTTTATTTTTCTTATATATGAAATATAGCCGACCAATGTTACATCACAAACCATAAAAAATTCGTACCAATATAGATCCTGTCACCAGAATCTCTTTTCACAAAGAGCGCACTGAGTACTACGAAAGAGTTAACATCAAGAAGCTTGTGCAAGCTCATAAGTAAGGGTAAGCGGTATGAGGATAATATGTAATCAGAGCTAGAGGTATGACGATAATATTTAGTCAGAGCTAGAGGTATAAAAATAAGATGTTGTCACAGTGAGAGGTATGAGGATAATATGTGGTCAGAGTGAGAAGTATGTGGATAGTGTGTGATCAATGTTAGAAGTATGAGGATAATATGTAATAAGTGTTAGAAGTATGAGGATAATATGTAATAAGTGTTAGAAGTATGAGGATAATATGTGGTCAGAGTAAAAGGTATAAGGATAATATGAGGTCAGAGTGAGAAGTATGGGTATAATATGAAGTCAGATTAAGAGGTATGAGGAGAGTATGTGGTCAAAATGAGAGATACGTGTGTAAGGGTAATATGTAGCCAAAGTGAGAAATATAAAATTAATATTTTGTATGAAAAAGAGGTATGAGGACAATATGAGATCAAATTAAGAATAATGAGAATAATCTGTGGTCAGAGTGAGAGGTATGAGGATAAATGTGGTCCAACTAACAGGTAGAGAGATAATGTGTGATAAGAGTAAGAAATATGATAATAATGTATGTTCAAAGCTAGAGATATAAGGAAAATATATGGTCAGAATAAAAGGTTTGAGTATGATATAAAGTCAGGGCTAGAGATGGATTCTACAACAATCGATAAGACCCTCACGTCGCGGTTGGTCTAGAGAAATATATAGCTAGTGGTTATCAACATTTTAAACATAACAAAAATGTGACCCGATTTCAATAAAAATTATTTGCTTATGTAAAAGTACATATGACGTTTTGTGAAAAATCTGTAAGTAATGGAGAAAACTGGATATCATTTTGGGATTCAGCGTACAGGAATTACTGTAGAAGATAATAAAACAATCGCAGGCTTGTGTAATTTACCTTAATATACAGTAGTCTGAGATCTTAGAAAACACTAGGTGAAAATCCAGTCGTACCCTCTCGTACTAACAGCTATTTAATGCAATTTCTTTCTTACTTAAATCCCAGTTCTACAAATGTTTATAGTAACTGTATTTAGTATGTGTATATATTCCTAAGCAACCAACTTCTAAAGCATTATTATGATCTGTTGAAAGGTTTTAAGAGTACTTCAAAAATACTATTCAGATTTGATGTTATTTCTAACCGCTACTGCTGTTTGTGCATAAACACGTACCAAAATCCCAGAAAAAATTCACGAATATTTCAAGAGTTATTGATTGTCGGCAAAAATATAAGTTATACCGGGAACAACACTTAACATTAACACTTTGTCGTACAGTGTGACATATTATTTCTAAAATTAGTTTTAGTCACAATACTATCGCAAGCTCCCCATTATTCACGGTTTACCTAAATAATAGACACCTCTGCAACAAACACGTTTAAAAATTAACATTATGCCGTGATTTAACCCGAAACGTTCTAATGAAGGTAATGGTACTCAGTATTAAGATTTAATATTTTTAAAGCAATATGTAATAAACGTATAGAAGTATAATGTCTGTAAAACTTGGATTATTGTTCCTGTAAAAAATATATATTATGAATATATACACGTAAATGTATAACA